AGTGAGTGAGTGAGTATTCTTGATACGAAACCACGACGACACACACCAGTCGACTCGCATCGGTTGCCTCCATGAACGGCGGAGCTATTCTCGCGCCCACACCACACCTGGCTCCAACGTGGACACGCCCATAGCTGGGGACACTACTAGGTCATGCATGGCATCAGAAGTTTTATCTCTTCACACACACTTTCACTTCGCACAGAGAGAAAAGAAAAAGGCCGCCTCCCACGATGCGCGTGCTCGACGAGCTGGTGCAAGCCTTTCTGCCGGAGCCGCCCGGGTGGGGTGACCACCATCCCGGCCGCCTGCCTGGAGGTTCGGCGCCAAACTGGAGCCTCGCCCTCGCGAGGCCGCTCGACGTGCGTATTCTGATGCTCATCGAAATTGTCGTGACGCCCGACGACCCCGCCCTCCAGCATTCTCCGGCGAGAGTGATTGACATCGACCCCCAGGGCGTGATCGCCGAGAGGCTGGGTGCCGCCACGGTCGAGCGGCTGCGCGCGGAGCGGTGCAGCTCGAACACCTACAACTCGCTCGAAATGCTGGGCAAGGCTCTGCATTTCGCCATCTTCGGCGAGGCGCCGCCCGCCCCCTGCTGCATGCTGTTCGAGGCGTTCGTAGCGCCCGCTCCGTCATCAGTCGACCCGATGTCCCCGGCCACGCCTGGCGTGCAGCGCCCGCAGCAATTCCGCGCGCTGACGCGTGCAAGCAGGGCCGCACAGAGGCGGCTGAAGGGGCCACGTGTGCAGGGGCCACGCGTACCATGGGTTGAGGCCCTGATCGGCGCGGGCGACTTCCACGAATTTCTGGGCTGGACCTCGCCCGGCCTAACTTGGTGCGACGTGCGCGTGCTCCACCCCGACGATGGGACCAGTGCGAGGTGCAGACTTCGGGTCTGCGCGCTCACGCCCATCATCAAGAGCGGCCAGGACGAGCGCGCGGCGGAGGCTCTGCGGATTTTCGCCGACAGGGCGCGCGCATCTTAGAGGCGCGGCCCTTGCATCCCCGACCCTGACCGCAGGCTGTCCACCCCCCACAGGCTGGCATCGGCTGCTGGATGCAGGCGGAGAGCGGCGACGCGGCGGCCCAGCCGGGGGAGCCGCCCTCCTCCGACCCAGAGGGCGGCAGCTCCGGCGGCGGCGGCACCGTGCCGACGCTTCCGTTCGATCGCCGGGCGGCAGAGCTGCAGCGCCCCGCCGCAGGGAAGGAGCCAGCCCTCGCGCCCGACCCCTTCCACCCGCCACAGCAGCCGCCGCCAGCCCTCTCCTCCGGGGGCGCCGTCCGGAGGGACCCTTCCGCCACCAGCTCCTCTCCGGTGGGGTCCGCTGCCGAGGACTGGCTCTCTCCGCCAATGCTGCTTAGCGACGCCCCTCGGCGTGCGGGAGGGGTGGGCGGCGAGGCGTCGAGCTCGGCGGCGCACGCGGGGCCGGAGGGCGGGCAGAGCGGCATCTCCTCGCCTTGCCTCGCCGCGATGGACACCGCGCCCGCGCCCGTACAGAGTTTGTCGAGGGATTGGACGGTCCCCAATGACGAGTACGTCTCCTACTACCGTAGCTTTTTGGAGGCCTACCGCAACCAGGACGCGAGCGCGCTCGTGCTCACCCAGATGCCAACGCCCGACGACGAGGGCTCCAACCTCATCATCCTCGGGCTGCCCGGCGAGTCCTCGGGGCTCGCTATGATGCTGCAGAAGATGTTTTCGGACGAGGAGAACGTGTCGAACGTGTTGCTCCTCTTCACCGGCGCGCGCTCGGAGCGCAAGCACGCGCGTGATTCTTACCTGAACGAGGCCCTCTGCGGCGCGTCCGACGACGAGCGGCGGCGCGCCAGCGGGCTCGCCGAGGCAGTGCTGCCGCTCGAGGGCGACGACTTGGGCGTGCTGTACGAGCTGCTCACCGCGCTGCGCGGCTTCCCGCCTGCACACTGCCGGGCATTGTGCGCGCGCTCCCGCGTGCGCTCCCCATCGCGCGCGCCCGCGCCCCCCACGTGCTCTTCTCTCCCGGATAGGGACCACTGCAAGGAGTGGGGTGACCGCCACCTTCACCTCCTGCTGCTGCTCGAGCTCGTGGTGATCGCCGAGCGGCGGGGCGTGCTCCCGCCGCGCGTCCTGCTGCCTCTTGTGTGCGCTCAGTGCGGCTGCGCGTGGGCGGCGACAGTTGAGTGGGCGCAGTTCGTGCCGTGCCGCCACAGGAGAGTCCGCAGCCTATTTGCTTGCGCGTATCCGGCCGTATCTGATCCGGCCGTATCTGATCGACCCGCATCCCCGACCCCTCCGCAGTGCCATTTGCCTGCGCTGTGCCGGCCAATGCGGCTGCTGCCCGACGTGCTTGCAGCGCCGAAACCTCGAGGTGCGCTTGCACTCGCGACTCGGAGTGGGAGTAGGAGTGGGAGTAGCACGTGCGATCGTCGCCATGTCACTCGACTGAGGCGCGGGGTCCGCTCTAGACTCGCGTCGGGGGTCCGCTCTAGACTCGCGTCGGGGGCGGGGGGTAAAAGATTTTTCCTCTGGGGAGCTTGAAAAAGTGACACAAACCGTGAAAAGAGGTTCACAAAAAAGAATGTAACCAAGCTCTCACAACCTTAAGAACAACTCTCTTAATTTAACAAGAACTCTCTCTCTCTGGTCTCTCAGCAGACAGGCTCGACACGGGGGACGGAGGCGGCCAAATCGAGCGGCCTTGCGGCGTGTGTCGGACGCAGGGTTCTTGTCCGCGTGAGCCAGGTTTCTTCATTCCGCGCCCTATCTTGCGCCAGGCATACGCCGCGCAAACGGTGCGGCGGGCTCTGCCGGGGATGGGGCTGCTGCGAGGCGCGGGGCGTGGCGCAGCCGCAGGATGGGAGCGGCGAGGCGCGAGGCGAGGGCGAGGGCCAGGGCGAGGGCGAGCTGAGTTCGGATGGCGATTCGGACAGGTCGGTGGAGGGCGTGGATTGGTGGGTTGACGAGGGGCCCGAGTGGGGCTCGGCGGAGCTGGAGGACGCCACGTCTCTCGGTCTCGCGAGGCAGGCGGTAGGCGACGCGGCGTACGGAGACGTCGTCGCCGACGCGGAGCAGCGGGTGGACGCGGTTCGCCGTCGTCTCGTCCTCGCCGAGCTCCGCATCGCTCACCAGCTCGCGCCACCGCCGCTCCGCCTCTGTGCGGCCCGACCTCACCGCCGCCTCGAGCTGCCGCAACCGATCTTCGCCCAGACCCGCGCTGAGCGCGCAGACAATTCTCGCGGCGGGGCCGGAGGCCGCGGCAGCGTCGTACACTGGAGGAGTGCGCCGCGAGCTCGGCGGGCTCATCGGGGCCCACCGTCCCCAAGTCGCCCGTGAGACGCGCCGCATCGAGCAGCAGCGCACGGCCCGCAGTCTCAGAGGAGAGAGCCTCAACCTCGTCGGCCGTCAGCACCGGCTCCATGAGCGCAGTGGAGCGCGTAGCGTCAGCGGCGGGTGGGGGCGGCGCCAGCAGCCGACAGACATTGTCCAATTCTTTGTTTAGAAGTTTGCCTCAAGGACGGACGATATCGTCCGTCCCTGAGTCGGTTGCCACGACTTTGGATTGTTTTTCCGAGCTTGGTCCGAATTGTCGAAGGCTTCGACGCCAAGTTTGCCGCGTTTTCCGAGCTTGGTCCGAATTGTCGAAGGCTTCGAGTCTTCTGATAAACGCAGTATGGAAGATACAAAGAGACGGAGGAGCAACGAGCGCCCCGGCGTGAGCCAAAGACACTCCCTCCGTAGACACTGATCACACACGGGTGGGACAGGGTGGGTCACAACGAAGCACGAGAGCGTGCACGACAGAGCGACGGACGGCGCAGCGCACTGCCGTCCAGTCAGCGAAGGGACGGCTGCTGCGCAAAGTGATCAGTTCTAATGAATGTACCGGGGCCCTGTGGATAGATGAATCCGGGGCACCCTCCGCTCGAATCCCTGGCCAGGGGTTCGAGGCGGCCCCCACCCTGGGGCCTCCCATCAAAGGGACTGCTGCAGAAGACGCCCAATATCTTGCACAAGTGCAAGAACCATACGTCTTCTGATAAACGCAGTATGGAAGATACAAAGAGACGGAGGAGCAACGAGCGCCCCGGCGTGAGCCAAAGACACTCCCAACTGCGCTCCGTCACCGGCGTCGCGGTCTCCCCCACTGAGGACGATCTGCGGGGGGGAGTCGCGCCGCCGGCATGTATCTGTGCAACTGTGTTTTGCCTTGTCCCGTTTGATGGAGCAAAGTCACGGGCCGCCCGCGCTTGAAGGCGGTCGCGCCAGGCGCGGGCGGCACTAGTTGCCGGCGATCCGCTTGGGCAGCGCCCGCGCTTGCCTCTGACTGGGTCTCCATAGGTCGCGCGGCCCGAATGCTCGATTTGAACGTGCCGCAAGCTGGCGTCGCTCGCGTAGCTGTGGCAGGGCGATCCTCCCTTCGGTGGAAGGGAGATCTCTAGCCTCCTAACGAGGTTGCCCTCCGCCTGGCTGTTTGGCGACAGCGAGTTAACACCTCCGCAGTTGCGTCGGTCCGCGCCACAGGTAGAGACGTTGATCGGCCGTCGCCCCACGTCCACAGCCAGGAGAACGGGGCTCCCCAGCCATACGACACACGCGTTCGCGGCGGGTCGTCGTAGTCGGAGTCGTAATCGCTGCTGTTGGGGCCTCCCCGCTCCTCGTCCTCGGTCTCCTCGTGCGCGCTGGGTGGTACGGCTCCGGCCGTGGTGGGGGCGGGGAGGGGGCGGGGGCCACGGCCGCACGGAATCGCCGCCGGAGGGGGGCGAGGGCGTGGGCGAAGGAGGAGGAGCCAGAGCCCGGGGAGGATTGGGAGGGGGAGGAGCGGCCGGAGGAGTACGCCGGCTCTTTGACGACCCGCAAGGGGCCGTCGCCTGCTGTGCCATTTGTAGTGCCAATAAATAAATAAATAAAAAGGGCACGCCAAACGAGGGGTTGGAGAAGGACAGGGTCAGCGCAGTGAATTCTTCATTCCGGTGGGTGACTCGAGGTGCGCTCCTTCTCTTCCGCTTGCCTTCACACAATGCAGAGCCGCAACCTCTACTGCGTCCAGCTTCAGAGCAAGCTGGTCACCGTGCATACCAGATACGCGCGGTCGCTGCTCCTCTGTCCACCCCACTTTGCCGACGGCGTAGCACAGCGTGGCGATTATTCAGACGCCGAGGCGTGGAGCCCGCCGCCGCCCTGGGTCGCCTCTGTCGCCTTGTCGATCGACGTCCCCGGCGGCGGCCGGACCGCGCCTTGGTCGGTGCCGCTGCTCAACGTCGACCACATAATCGTGACGGACGGTCTCGGCAACGAGCGAGTCTTGCGCGACGGGGAGGCGGTGCAGCTATCACCGAGCTTTGTCCTCTCGATCCAATTCGAGGTTTCGGCGGATGGACAGCAGGCCCGCGTGCGAGCCCCGCTGCCTCTTGACTCACTAGTCCCTCTCGTCACTGTAGGAGCACATCGTTCGACTCGGGCCAGCGAGCTTCTTCACCGGCCCAGAGCCGTCCCTGCCGGAAGAGGGGCAGCTCCTTGCCGGCTCCGGGCGCGCGCAGCAAGTGAGCGGCGCGGCGCCTCCCCCGGAGATGAGCACGCCATCGAGAGGGGCGGTGCCACCAGCCTCGCCCTTCACACGAGGAGCAGACGACGGCGACGACCCGCTCCTCGCGGAGGCGGTGGCCGATATGGCGCCGGCGCCTCCCGCGCGGGCAGAGCTCGACTTTAAGATACCGCGCAGCGCCTTCGTCTACTACGTTCTGGAGGACATAGCTGGTGACGACCTCAAAGGGACGCCGGCAGAGCCCGCGGCGTACGAGATGGTGGCGACAGAGCGCCGCCTTGACCACGACGGCGGTTGGGCGCCACTCGCGGGCGGCTGGCGCCGGCAGCCAGTCTCTCTCCGCATCGTCCGGCGGAGGCACGGGCCGGCGGTGCTTCTGACGGCCCTCGGTGTCGACGGGGGGGACGAAAAATTGCGCGACATGGGCATTTTCCCGGTGGAAGGGCCTTTTTTTTCCTTCAAGAAGGTTCCCCTGGGGCCCTTTGGCCCTTTGGCCGGCCCCCCCCCCCCCCCCCCCACGGCCCTCGCCACCGCCCCCCCTCGCCGCCGACAAACAGGTGATCTACGAGACCGTGGCGGCCGACGAGGGGGAGCAGCGCGAGTGCATCTTCCTCCTGGACATCAACGAGACGATGCAACTGGAGGCCATCACCTTAGCTAGGCCACGCGAGAACCCAAACGCCGCCGCACCTGACATACACGTACACACGCGCAACCGCAGCGCGACATACACACACGCAACGCACTGCACACACTCTGTCCTTTCTTAGGCCCTGCAGCGATCCGATGCCAAGCCGCGAATTGCGGCCCTCAAGAAGGACGGCCTGGAGGGAGGGGCTGCGTCCTTCATTGCGGTGCCGCCGCAGGCATGACATGAGTTTAACCACGGGCAGCGTCTCCAGCGCCCCTTCTTCCCACCCTTCGCCTCCCCCGTCCGTAGGCGTTCTCGCTGCGCGAGGGCGCAGAGCTCAAAGTCTGGCTAGCAGACGGGGTGGCGGCGCCAAAGGGCTATTCCGCCGAAGTCGCCGGAAAGGGCGGGAGGAACTTCAACAAGCGCTTCGTCATCCTCCGTGGGACGGGCGTTGGGGGCGAGCTGCGTCTGCGCGTGGAGCGGGAAAAGGGGATCGACCGCTGGAAGGGTTTTCATGGGGCATGGTTCACCGTGGCCCCACCACTGTTGCAAGAAGCAGCAGTCGATGGAGGCAAGGTGGCGCTAGCGCCGCGGCTGCTGACTGAGGCCGACCAGAGAAGGCTGCCCGCCGCTCTGCACTCCACCATCATTGCACGCCACCGGTTCGATCGTTGGGAGCAGCGGCTCCTACATGAGTTGACGGCACGCAGAGCCGCCTTCGGTGCGGGCCGTGCCCAAAACTTAATCACACCCGTTTTCGTGTTGATGAGATAGGCCTCTAAGGTGACCTTGGACCGCGCAGCCGACTTTGTGCTGAGCTTGCGCCGTGAGGTGGCACATGGATTCTCACTGATGTCCAATGCAGGTGGAGTGCCTCCGGGCCTGCTCTCAGCACTTCGAAGGCAGTTGCACGCCGCAGGTTACCATGTTGGGCGAGGCAGCTGCGTCCTTACGAGCGCAGCGAGTGCATCAGAGGTGTTGCAGGTTGAGGCGTCCAGAAACCATTTTGACATTGGCGAGTTAGTAGCAAGTTACGGAAGCTAATAGCTTGTGTTAGCGCCAGTGCGCGCCAGCCTCCCGTGCCCGTCTAGGTGCCCGCGCCCACACGCCACAGTGTTGACTGTTGTGCGAAGAATAATTCGAGGCTGGCTTGACCCCAGACCCCAGTCAAGGTTATTTTTATGGGAGCGGCCCAGCCCCTTGGAGTGTGAAGGCTTCGTAGCCCTCCGGTCTACTACACCCAGCTAGAATGTGGGGGCGAGAGCCTTGCGAACGCTCACATGACCTGCACCTCCGTGCGGGTGTTTGCGGCCTAAAGGTGACCGAACAAAGGACCCCCCCCGCCCATACACATCCAGCGCAGCCCGGGGTACGCGCTGCGCCAGGTCGGCCGTGGGCGCCCCAGGGACCGCCCCGCGAGGGCGCCTAATCCGCCCCCTCGCGAGACCGCTCATCGTGGCCGGCGACCACCACGCAGGTCCACCACGACGCCCGCGGTCGCTCTCCGCTGCCCTGCTCGACCGACTCGATCGCCCGGGGGCCGAGGTGCCTCGCTGCGCCCCGCTCGCACCGCCACAGCCCCAGGAAGGGCACTCGTCGCTCTCGCCCAATGGCGCGGCATTGCTCTGAGTGTGGCTGGTGCGCGCTGCACAGGTTCATAGACGGGGCGCGGTGGATGCAGTGCTGTTGCTGAAAGTCGTGTCTCTAGATTGTGCGTCCGCAGCAGGAATTTTTTCATATGAATCGCGTGATGGTTCGCTATGAGCTGCAAGGCTGCAACCACCCCGTGTTCGCTGCGAACGCTTCACGCTGTTTCACCCTCTTCTGCAAGGACCGCCGGCTCACACCGGCACGGCCAGGCACCGACATCGCGCGGGGCGGATTCGAGCTCCAGCTCAGCTGCACGCAGCTGCGGGAAGCTTGGGTGCGGCTCAATCTGACGCGGGCCGAATTGGAGCATTGGGGTGGTATGAGCAGGCGCGCAGGCCGTGGCGTGAGTGCTCGCAGCCGACGAAGCGTCGCGAACGAGAGCACGTGGGAAGCAGCGTTGCGTGGCTGCCGTTAGTTTTGCGTGCTGCGACACATATCACTTTTGATTCATATCGCCGTGTGGGTTCCCGATCACCCTCGCACGAATAACGTTTCGCACGCAGCACGTGTGGTCATGTCCGGGGTTCGAGGATCGTGAGCTCTGCAGTAGTCTTAGAGTGTTGCTCTGTTTAGGTGTTTACCGGCAAAAGGTTGATGGTTGTGTACCCTATGGATGGGGTTGTACCGACACAGAGTGTGTGGCTCTGGCTGTTGCCTGTTGTGTTGTCCCTTGCACGTGGTGGCGTGGACGCGCCGTCTTGCTGGCCGTGCATGGGGAGGTCCTCTGGAGCGGGGAGGCCCGGCAGAGAGACGCCCTAATGAGTCATGTGTCAAATCGCTCGCAGGGAATGAGAGGCCCGGAAAGAGAGGGAGACCCGGGCAGAGACCGACAAGGCGCACGAAGGGCGAACGACGCCTCGGTAGACTGGCCGCCGCTGACTGCTCATGTCGTCACCTCCGCTGCGGGTCAGGTGGCACGACGCTCATCGCGCCTACCAGCGCTGCCGTGCAGGTTGCCACGACGAGGTCGAGCACGCTTCTATACGCTCGCCCAGCCTTCCTTTCCATCCCATTAGGTAGCCTGGGAACGGTGGCGGTCAGAGGCAAAGCCTGCGAGGGGTGGTGGAACCACATGTCACGGCTACTGCCGGCTCGACCCCACGATAGCCTCCGAAGGCTGACTTTGCGGCACCATCATCGGACGATGTCGACGAGTTGGGTCGCGCTCGCGGTAGCCAGATGACCCCTCATACTAGGAGCATCGGCCATGGCCGCAGGGAGCGCGGGGGAGGGCGCTGGGAGCAACACGGAGCTCCGTTGGACGCGTTTTCAAGATTAGCGTGTCATCTTGAAATGGAACTAGCCTGGAGAACGACAGGGCCGCGAAAACCAAAAATCCTGCGGGGAACATGCAATGGCCGCGAAACCAAAACCACGAGGAGAATTTGGCAAGCGGCCGCGAAAACCACACCCCCTACGAGGGGAATATGGAAATCGGGCGGCTGAAAAAGGGGTAGACGAGTCTTTATGTCTACCGCGGTCTACCAAGTCTACCGGTACGCGGTAGACTGGTGTCGTAGGTTCATTACGGTCTACCGGTAGGCGGGGCCACCCCTCAGTTCAGGACGTGAGCCCATCCGCGCCGCCGTTGGGCTGGCCGTCCAGGCCGTTTGGCTCGGACCCGCCCCCTTGGTGGGTGCTGGGGCCAAAGCGCAGGTAAAAGACCGCAGTGAAGGCGGCGAAGAATGCGACCGGGTAGAGGGCGCCGCCCGCCATGAGCCCGAGCGCAGCCGAGAGCCACACCGAAGTGGCGGTGGTCAGGCCGTGGACGTGCGGGTTCTTGTCGCTCCCCTTGACGATGACTGCGCCTCCGATGAAGCTCACGCCGGACACCACGGCGGCGGCGACGCGAGACGTGTCCCACTTTGACGGGCCGGTGCCCTCGCAAAACATGCCGCCCCAAGTGTACAGGGCCGAGGCGAGGCACGTGATGGCCATCGTCTGGATGCCGACTCCGCGCTCGCTTCGCCTCCGCTCATGGCCGATGATGGCGCCGAGGAGGACGGCCACGGTGAGGCGCACGCACGCGTCGGCCTCCATTGTCGTCAGCCCGCCGAGGACGGCGTGGCGGTCGTTCTGGCACGGGTCGTACTCGGCCGCGTAGATCGGGTTCGAGTACGGCTTGAGCGAGCCCAAGGGCTCGGAGCACGGGGGGGCGAGGTGCGGCGCGGCGAGCGCGAGCAGCGCGTAGACGCACGCGCTGCAGCCAATCAGGTTGATGGCGAGCATGGTGAGGAGCGTATTGTGGCCGGCGACGATCCTCGCGGTCGAGCCGCGCCGCAGGTCGTCCCTCGCAAGCGAGGCGGCCGAGAGCGGGCCGACCGCGGCGATGCCGGCCGCGCCAGGCACAAAGTTGAGGACGACGACTGAGGCCGCCGCAGCGAAGATGGCGGGCACGTAGAGCGCGCCGCCGACCGCATTGCCGATGGCGGCGGTCGTCCAGACGAGGATGGCGGTGGTCAGGCCGTGTATTTCCTCCCTCCCCGAGGCCGTCTTGCCCTTCCAGATCGTCGCGCCGCCGAGAAAGCCGACCCCGGTCGGGATGGCCGCGGAGGAGCGGGAGGCGTCCCACGACATCGGGCCGTCGACGAAGGAGAAGGAGGAGCAGATGGAGAAGCAGCACGCGCCGAGGCACAGCACGGACATCGTGCGCATGCCCGTCGCCGTGTGCCCGTGGACAGCGCGCTCCCAGCCGATGGCGGTGCCGATGGCGATGGAGCAGAGGATCCGTGCGCAGATGCCGCATTCCCACTTTGTGAAGCCGAGGAGCGACCAGTAGCGCACGGAGTAACACGGGTCGTCGTCGAAGTCCGGGTTGCCATGCTTTAGCGGCTGCGAGCGTGGCGGGAGGTGGCAAGCCGGCGCGATGAGACCAACCTCGCTTGCGATTGCGATTGCGCTGTAGGCGACGACGGCGACCGCAACCACGCTGTAACACAGCAGCTCGGTGAAAGTAGCACGCCGGCTAAAGTAGCGATCGCGGACGCCGTCGCGGCCCATCGTGTGGCAGGAGAACAGACGAGAGTAGCCTCGGTCCTCGGTGCCGTGGTGGCCGTCGGTCGAAATTCGGCGGCACAAATAACGTGTGGGCCCTCAGCGGAGCTGGGAATAGGACCGCCGCGAGCGGCGTGGCGTGGAGCGGTTGTGCATCCCTCCGGGGGCCCCTCTGCGCCGGGTGCGAGGGAGCTTAGTGGTAAAATTCTAATCTGAGTTCGGGTCCTCTCGAGACAAGTGGACCCGATGCCGATCGCCCATTCACAGCACACAGGTCATCGCTCCCGGTCATCGCTCACACTTGAATCCCTCGCTTGTCGTGGCGCCCGCGGGCGCGCCATACAGGAGCGAGGAGGCTCGGTGGATCTATCTGGATGACGGGGATGGTGGCTGGAGTCGATTTTATCGCTCTCCTAGCGCGTAGCAGAGAGGCTGCGGCGAGACCGAGAGAGAGGGGAGGCAACCGATGCGAGTCGACTGGTGTGTGCGTCGTGGTTTCGTATCAGGAATACTCACTCGCAATACTCACTCACACTCACTCACACTCACTGTCTCGTGTAAGAAAGAAAGAAAGAAAACAGACAACCCATGCCGTCGAGCACCGCCACGGCGTGAGAAAATCGCGCCGCCGCCAACGGCGCCACCTCCTCCCACGACTTCGTAGCAAAGTCGTACCGCTCCACCAGGTTGGAAATTGCGAAGGTGTCAGCCACGTCCTCGCCGCCCACCACGTACAGCTTGCCGTCGAGCACCGCCCTGCCGACATACCTTCGTGCCGTCGGCATCGGCGCCACAGCCTCCTCCTCCCACTCGTTTGTTGAAGGGTCGTACCGCTCCAGCGAATTGAGCAACTCGCCCTCTCCGTCTTGGCCGCCGATCACGAGCAGGCGCGGCCTCTCGCGCTTCTTCAGCGTCTCCTTCCAGCCGCGGCGCCACGCGCGGCACGTCCCCTTGACGGCGTGCTCCGTGGTCGGCAGCTGGGCGAGGATGTGCGGGGCGAGGTCCGGCGAGAGGAGGACCTCGGAGAGCACCCACTCGGGCTGCTCCACGAGCCGTGCGGCGTGCTCCTCCGCCACGCGCAGCGCGGCGTCGCTCGCGCCCGCCTGCGCCTCGATGATGGCGCACAGCTGCGCTGGCGAGAGGCCCGCGACGCGGGCGCCGATGCGGTGGGAGGCCATCGGTGTGGGTAAGTGCGTAGACGCCCTGAATCTTTCGTGCTGGGACTGCGCAGCGCGTTCGTTTTCTTTTTCGAAAAGAGGTGAATGTTGGAAGGCGGGGAACAAACCTCAAGGATGCACGCGCAGCACACTCAGGCGAGGGACTTCAGCACACTCCACGCACAACAGACAACGGCGACTCTGGCGGATGCTGGTGACCTAGCACTCGTTTTCTTTCCCTGTCACCTCAAAAGGAAGGGCGCACTCGCGCAGCACACCCAGCCCACGCCGTGGGGCTAGCACGCACGCACACAACGGCGACTACATCAAGACGGCGAATCAAAGCCTTCTGATGCTCGAGCAGATGGCGTTGAAGGCGTCCACGGCAGTTGCCGTGCACCTTGGCGCGCAGCTTGAGCAACAAGTCGGCCGAGATCGTGGAGAATTTGGTTTCAACGACCCGGCAGAGAATCCCAAAGCTCTCGGCTGACGCCGGATCGATCCCAGCACACACGCCGAGCCCAGCACACACGCGGAGCCCAGCACACACGCCGAGCGAGCCGTTGGTGGATGCGGAGGCGGCCAGCGCGTCGGCGTCGATCTGGGAAGAGGCGAGCGGCATTGCCTCGAGCGTGGTAGCGACGCTCCGCTGCACGACGCACACGCCACAAGGGTTTTTCCCCGAGAGACACGATTTCGGGTTTGGTCAGGGTTTGGCTTGGGGAGGGTCATTTTATAAAATGAACTCGGGGGCACGGGACGCGGCACAAACGGGGCACAAACGCCAGGCTACAAAAACGGGGAGGCACGTAGTGACGCAGGGGAGTCTAGGCGACGGCGGCGTCCTCCGACGCCGCGGCGAGCCTGAGCTCGGTCGCAATCTCTTCCGCCGCCGCGAGCTGCAGCGCGACTGACATGCGCTGGGCCTGCAGCGAAAGCCACGACCGCGTCGACCAGCTCGCCTCGTCCTCGTGCTGCCGCTTCGAGAGCTTGTTGCGCACCTTGTCCTTCATCTGGTAGAACAGCCGTTTGACCGCGTTGCACCACCCGCCGAAGGTTTCAAACAGGTACATCTGCACGTCGGTGTCCGAGCGCGAGAGGGCGTGCGCGTAGTCCGCCTTCTTGTACGCCACATAGCCGCCGCCGTCGCTCGGCCTGAAGTCGCCGTCCCCGACAGCGCCGCGCTGCTCGAGGCCGAAGACGTCCGCGCTCGTGCCGGGCTCGGTGTTGCCGAGGCCGACGAAAGCGCCTCGCTGGCCGACGTCCTCCGGGTTGGAGGAGAGCGAGTCCTTGAACTTGACGTCGCCGATGAGGCGCGAGCGCGAGCGGCCGGCGCCCGCCACCGAGACGTCGGGCCGGTAGTCGTTAGAGTAGCCGAGGTGGTCCCGCGGCTCCACCTCGACGAGCATGCCCCACACGCTCCGCATGACCTTGGCCAGGGCGGCGAGGAGGCTGTTGTGGCGGCCGCAGTGCCCGAGGCGGCCGATGTTGGGGAGGGCATCCCGACAAAGTCGAGAAGGACTAAACCAAAGACAGACAGGGTCAAAAGACGCCGACGTGTTCCGTCGCTCCCTCCCTCGCTCCTGGCCTCGCTCCTGCCTCGCTCCTGGCCTCGCTCTACATCCTCTACATCCACGGCCCTCTACAACAAACTCTGCAGCAAAATCGCGCTCTACATCGCTCGACAACGGAGGCAGTTCGTCACGCGCCGGATGTAGAGCTCTACAGCTCTATCTACAGCGCTCTACAGCGCTCTCCAGCGCTCTACATCTCTACAGCTCTACAGCGCTCTACACTCTACATCCTCTACACCCTCCCTCAGGCATCCAACGCCGGGTCGTACCGCTCCACCGAGCTGAGGAAGCCGCCATCGTCGTCACAGAAGCCTCCCACAGCGTACAGCTTGCCGTCGAGCACCGCCACGGCGTGAGCATGCCGCGCCTCCGCCATCGGCGCCACCGCCTCCCACGCGTTCGTCGCCGCGTCGTACCGCTCCACCGAGCTGAGGGCGCCGTCGGCGGTGCCACCGCCCACAGCGTACAGCCTGTCGTCGAGCACCGCCATGCTGTGAGCCTGCCGCGCCTCCGCCATCGGAGCCACCGCCTCCCACGTGCCAACTGCCGGAGCACTTGGAGCACTTGGAGTGCAGTCGGCAACCTCACATCCAGGGCCGGTGAGCTGAGAAGCGCATCCAGCGGGCCGGATGATCGGCATCGGGCTACGGGCTAGAGAGCCCTGACCCCTAGCTAGGGGGGGGCGCGCATTCGCAGGGCAAGGGCCTTAAAGTAAACACGGGTCTCCGAGGGTTAGTTCTGCGCTTTGGGTGTCCCCTAGCGGCGGAACGCCCCCTCTACTCGGAGCTAGTAAACACCAGACACTAGACACGAGCATGACGTACACTCTCACCCGACATCGCCACTCAGGGCTCCTCCGCCCGATCTCCCCACCCCCCATCCGAGGGGGCTCCCCTCTCCTCCCGGTCCTCCCTCCTGCTCGATTTCCGATGGTTCGGCGTCGGCTGCGGAGCCCGCCTTCCCCTCTTATACTTCTTCGACCGCGGCCTCGCCGCCGTCTCGTCTTCGGGGGCTATTCTTGTTGCCTCCGCCTCCGGCGATCCCGTGCCCGACTCCTCGGGTGAGGGCGGCGGCATTCGATCGCCACGCCGCCCCTCCCCGGGGGGTGGGGCCAGCTCTCTTCGGTCGAGGACTCGCGCCCGCCCCCGCGGTCTCTCTATCGTCCTCGGCTCGTCCGTCCGTCCCGACTCTACTCGCCGCGGGTCGTCTTTTTCTTTCTCATGTACCTTAAGGTACTCGAGTAGGCATCGCGGTGGCGTTGGACCTGCTCCATGGTGGGCTCCCCCCCTGTGAGAGCCATGCCGGGTATGTGCCGTCCCAGGACATACAGACGCTCGGTATGGGCTTTGGAGGGCTGACATTCTGATCCACCTTCGGAGGACACCAGCCAAAGCAATAAATAGGCGCAAGGCGCATAGGGGCTCCATGGCTGGCAGCAGCAAAGGACCGATGAACCGATTAGGAATTCAAACGAATCCAGACACCCGCAGCAGAACATGGGTAAAAAAAAGAAAGAAAGAAAACAGACAACCCAAGGGAGGGATGGGAGGACGGCACGCCGCCACCACACAGGGATTTTAAGGAGAGGTGTGTGGTGCGCTATCCGTCGCCCACCCTAGGGAGTCTGCCTCTTCCTATCTCTCTTCGCAGTCTCTCGCCGATTCTCGCTGCAACCTTCATGCCACCTCGCGGTCGTCCCACCCTCGTCGTTCTCTCCCTTGTCACTTCCTCCTCTGTCGCGTCGTTCTCTTCTGCCTCGTCCTGCGACGCCGCCGCCTGCCGGTCCCTTGTTCTCGCGGCTTCTTTCGCCTTTCGGCGCAACTCCGTCCTCCTCGCGGCGTATCCTGGCCCCTCGAGTCTATCGAGCTCCCCTCGCGCAAGGACCACATTTCTGACTCCCACTCCGATCATTTGCCTACAGGTCATGTTGTTGCTCAGGTCCACTCTCTCTTCGAACACTCGTGCCTCTACGGATGATGCCGGCGCTGGGGTCCCCTTCGGATGCATCGTGACATCTGACAACTGGATTTCCACTGGTTCGTCCTCCTCGGAGTCATCTTCCCCGTCCTCCTTCCGCTCGGCTCTTCGCTCGGTACGTTCGGTGTGGCTCACCCTCCATGCCGTGAACAGGCGCTTTATCCACCCTATATTCTTCTCTCGTTCCTCTGCCCGTGCCTTGGTCTTGTCGTTGTTTCGCACCCATGTCTGTATGGCAATCGAGGCTGCCTTCCCCACTACCTGTAGTTCACTCGTCACCTCTCCCGCGAGCTCCCTTCTCTTTACATGGGTATGCATAGGATCACCCCGGCTGGCAATTCGCATGTGACAAACATCGTGAGAGGCAAATGCAACACGTAATCCCCTTCTGCAACAAATGTGTATGGCCAGACATATTCCTTCCACGCGCAGTCGCACCCGCACTCACGCCGCGTCGGCTTTGCGGCGTCGGCCTCCCGCTCCCAGGATGCCATGACCTCGCGCGGAATTTCCAGGTTCGTCGGCGCGGTGTTCATCGTTTCTGGCGGCCGTCCCTTGACGCATCCCGCCGAGAGCCGCCCAGAGCGACGGGGTATTTCTTCATACCCGCGACTAGGCTGGTGTGGAAGTCACAGTTTCTTTTGGTCGTTAAGGAGTTGACTCGGCCCGGCGGTCGATCTGCGCCTTCGTTACATACACACCGAGCGCGCAGGCGCGGCCCGCCGCCCTTTTCCGGGTCCGCTTCTCTTGGACGAGGACGAGCGGCTTGTCCATCTCGAGCGGACCTCTCGGAGGCAGTTCTGTAGCGCGGGAGAGGCGGAAGTCGGTAAGGCCAGAGTGCAATACAGACGCTGTGGGAGGGAGAGGCGCGCCTTGACAGGAGATGCCACACACACTGAAAGTTTTCGTCGGCGCATGAGCGCGGCCGAGTGTAGGTATGTTGCAGCTATCATCCCGCCGTCGCCATCGCCCTCTCGGCTGGCATGGTGGCGCGGAAAGGCAATCATCACGCGCGAGATCTTCCAGCTTGACTTCGAAGCAAGTCGGCCGCGCGCGGCTGTGTGCTCTCATGCGGCGCCGCGCAGCACCCTCCGGGCCGAGCACTTCCACCCCGCCGTCCCTGGTGCGCGCGCGTGCATCGGCTTCGCCCTGAGCAGCCCTCGCCGCCCGCCGCACCGGCGCCGCACCGGCGCCGCACCGCCGAGTGACAGCACCTCCTCCTCCTCCATGCTGCAGGCTTTGCCGGTGCAAAGCTGCTTGCCCACACTAACAGCTCGTTCAGTAGTTGCATTTGGTGGCCACGCGGAAGGGCGACGCGTCTTGGCGGCAGGTGGGAGAGGCAGTCACCTCCGGGACTGGCGCCGCCGGGGCCGCGGGCAATGCGAGCAGCGCATTCCGGGCGGACGCGTGCAGCGCGTAGTATTCGCTCGCCGCGCGGGTTCGGTTCCCGAGCAGCGCGCGCACGTCGGCGGGTAGGTCCGCCAGCAAGTGGCGGTGCCTCGCGCCGTTCGCACAAGCGGCCACCGCAGCCGAGAGGTTGAGCTGCGTAAGGTGGCAGGCCGGCAAGACGCCGATCCGAGTGAGGAGGCTCTGCATTGACCGCTCGAAGGACTCCGAGATGCCGACGCCGCCGAGTGCGCCGAGCGTCGCTTGCGCTCTCGTGCCGACATCGTCTCCGCCGCCGGCGGCGGCGGGCGCCCCGTGTGCGAGCAGCTTGGTCTGCGGGTCGGCCGGCTCGCTCGCGAGCCAGCGCGCAAAGCCCGCGATCTGTGCGCTCGCGTTCGTCCGCCAGGTGGGTGGCGTCTTCGGCCTCACAAAGGCCCCCCCATACACGTGGAAGTACGCAAAGTGTGAGCGCGTCTGCGCGAGTGGCTCACGCACGAAGGTTGCCGCGAAGAAGTGGCCGCCAGCGCGGCGGTACACCGACGCGAGGGCGTCGAGCCGAGGACGGAATTTGCGCTGGAACAAGCGAAACTCTTCAGGTAGGTGGAACTCGACCAGCACGCGACTCTGTCGCCAAGCGAAGAGGGTCGAGTTCGCTGGCCTGGTGCCGACGGAGAGGCCGAGCGGCTCAGCCAGCGCGCTCACAATGAGCCCGCCATACCGGTGGCCATGCCAGTGAGGGCAATGCCGCCTCCAACCAGGCAACGAGCTTACGATGCTGACCGCGGAGGAGCCGCCCGTTTTCGGCAGGTGCAAGAAGAGCAGCAGCGCAGGGCCAGGCAGGATGGAGCCCGCCAGCAGGCTCGTCGAGCCGCCAGGGCTTCGCTGGCTGGCCTCGTCGAGGCCGGTGTCAGACGGCTCGGTGTCCAGCAACGATGACTGCATGAAAAGGAGGAGCCTCGGTTTTTTATTACCCAAAAGCTAGGCTACACAACGCCCTCTATGTTGGGTCAAGGCGGGCGCCTAGAAGAAAGCGCCGCCCCCCGAGGGGGAATCCCACCCGTACCCCGAGCCCCCGTCGAAGAGCGCGTCGAAAGCGTCGTCGCCTTCGTCGTACTCCTCCGCGTCAAAGCACCGGACCGGCTCCCCCCGGCCGTGCTCCCTTGCCCAGCGCATCTGCCGAACATGCGCACGCTGCTCCTCGCGCGCCCTCTCCTCCGCGGCGCGCGGCGTCCACCCGGTGGACGCCAACAGCGACTCGAGCGTCGCGCGATAAATCGCCTCGCCTTCCTCGCGTGATACCACCTCGCCCGCCTCCTTCGCCACCGCCTTCTTCCCACGCCGCGATAGCTTCTCGCCGCCCTTGCTCGCCAGCGCCGGCGATGCCGTGGCGCGCCCACCGCGCCCGCGCGCCCGCGCCTGAAAGGTAGCCCTGCCGTGCCCGACGTCCCCCCGCGCCCGAAGGATGACCCGCGCCTCCTCCTCCGTCACGGGCGTCTCGCGACCCCCTCGCGCCTGGAGGATAGCCCGGGCCTCCTCGTCCGTCACGGGCATCTGCGTCCTGTGCTGCAGGGCAATCCTCAGCGCCCGGACGCGCTTGTCCTCCTCGGCCGTGGCCGCCGCGCTCGCCTCCGCCGCCCCAGAGCCCCCTCCTGCCACCGCCTCCTCCGCGTCCGCGCCGCTGTAAGTAGAATCCGAAGCTCCGGCGGACGCAGCAAGTGGCTGCGAACTGTGCCCGGTGTCGGTATGGCGCGTCGCTGAAGGATCGGCAACAATTAGGGTCTTCGGAGCGCGGCGGCCCGCCTCGGCGGCGGCAGCGGCGCCCTCCACCTCCTCCTCCCCCCCCGCGGCGGCGATCGTCCCATCGCCGCAAGCCGGCAGCGCGGGCGCCACGGGGTCCATATAGGCCCCCGGGGCGCCGCCTCCGGTTCCGCCTTCCGCGGCCTGCGCACTGCAGGCGCCGCTGTCCGCCTCTTTGGGGCGCGCGCCGCCGCGGCCCTCGCCGCCAGCCGCGGCCCCGCCGCCGTGCTCCTCGCCAGCGGAGCCACTCCCAGCTCCGCCGCGGGGGCCGCTTGCGGCAATCGCATGCCCGTCTGCGGCACGCGCGGCACCCTCGGCAGCGTCCGTACCGCCGCCGCCGCCAGCGCGCTCGCCAGCAGCACCATCGCCGCCGGCCATCGCGCTGCTGCCCGCCTGCGCGCCAGTCGCAGCCCCAAGCGGGGGCTCGACCAGAGACAGGGAGGCAAAGGATGACAAAGCCGCCTCAGCCGCGTCGCAGCTGTTCAGGGCCGGCAGGCAGCGGCACAGCTGACGTTGCACGGTCTTGCCGAGGCCGAGCCCCTCGAGGCCGTCCTCGGCGACCGCCTCGAGCAGCGCCGCGACGTTGCCGACGTCCTGGGCCAGCAGCTGCGGCACCACCTTACCGGAGACGAGCGCAGAAACGCGCGCCCGCTCCAGGAGGGCCGCGATATCCTCGTCGAGATCGATGGACGGCCGCGAGGCCGCCATCACCGTGGCGCCCGGCCGCACGGCCCCGGGCTGCGGGTCTGTGCTCGCCGGTGGCGGTGGAGCGAGAGGGAGCGAGCAGTCTTTGGAGCCTTGGTTGGGGGGCGGTTGTGATACTACCAGGCCTAAGTTGTGATTATCAGGATCCCGGCGTGAACACGACTAACTGACGGATCCGCTCCTGACAGTGGCACGCACCGCGCTGTGGCGCGTGCCACTGTCTTTGTTTGAAGTTAAAAGTCGAATCAGAGCGCCGTCGGCGCTGATCCTCGATTTCCTCCCCCGGACCGCCCGTCCGGGACCGCTCCGGGACGCACGCCGGCGAAGCACCATCAAGCTGCTGTACGGCCCCGGCATCGCCTTCCCATTACACTGCGGGCACCAGTTTGAATGCTGTCGCCAGTTTTCTACGCACTCCTTGTGCATCACGTGCCCGCAGTTGAGCGCGTGCAGGCTGGTGTCGCCGAGCTCTTCATAGCACACGATGCAGCACGGGTCGACGTCGCGGCCGGTGCGCGCGAGCAGATCCTTGAGAGCCGTCGCGGCGTCCGCTGGTGCACTCGGATCTTGGAAGTTGACCAACTGCGTGAGGGCGCCTTGTTCGGCGCCAATGTCGCCGCTCATGCGTGCAAATGTCAGCGCCTCCCCCAACACCGCGCGCGTCTGCGCCGCCTTCTCTCCGCCGGCGCGGTAGTACTCCGAAACGGCGGCTCGCACGCCGCCAAAGTTGATCAGCGTCGAGGCGATCTGACGGTGTGCCTCGGCGAGGCACGACACGTGATTGGGCTCGCGCGTGCCGATGACGCTGCGCAGCTTGAGGCTCTCGCGACGCAAGGCCACTGCGCGCTCAAGCTGCAACACGGCGACAGTCGTGAGGCCCATGCTGAAGTACGCGCGGCCGAGCGCCGAGCGTGTCACCGCCTCAGCCTTCACCAACGCGCACCGCTGCAGAGCGATCGCGGCACGGTACTCCTCATAGGCCACCGGCGGGTCGGCAGCTGCACGGACTGCTACCTGGTCGGGGCAAGGCTCGCCCTCCAGCGTGAGGTCCAACTCGTCAATCTGCTCTGCCTTGACCTGCTCGCACAGAGCGAGCCCAGCCTCGAGCTCCTTCTTCGCCTCCGTAACAGCTACCCAATGTTCCATGATGCTGCCACCTTTTGGGGGCCTCGCTCGAAGATGCAAATGCTCTTACTGCATGCACCATGCGGGCCAATGCCAGAGCCATACTATCTGGTGGTGCCGCTGGCGGCCAAAGTCCCGGGCATGCTCACGGGATCGGAGGCAGCGAAGGCGCTTGATTCCAAAGTTTTTGCTCGCCACGCGCATTCCTCCAAAGGCAGGCCATCGTGCGCAAGGCTTTTGGCTGGACGAAGGCAGCACCAACCCGCACACCTCGACATTCGTCACTAATGTCCGTTCTCCAGATCGTGTCGCCAAATTACTCGATCAAATATTTGCATGCCCCGCTCCTCCTCCATCCGCTCCAGCTCTTGCCGGCGGAGGAGCTCGGGCAGCATCGCCTCGGAGCCGTCGGCGCGCAGGAATTCGGCGCGGAGCAGCTTGATGGCGCCCGAGCGGAGGACGGCGACCAGAGGGTCGTCGAGGGCCGCCAGCAGCGGGATGCCCTTGCGGTCAGCGGCGGAGGGAGATGCTGGCTTGCTGGCAGCATAGCCCTTCTCCTCATCCTCGGCATCGTCGTCAAAATCTTGCTTGCTGACCGGCTGCTTCTCCGACGTCAGCTGCTTCTCCGGCATCAGCTGCCTCTCCTGTGCGGCTGCGCGAGCTGCTCTCTCTGCTCCTCTTCCAGCTCGTCCGGTTTGCTCTCGCCGCAGCCCATGGTGCATGGGCGTGTGAGCCGCTAGGGCGTGTCAGCAATCGTGCCTTTTATCGCGCGGCAGGCAATTTCTTTTTCCCGAGTGTTAGATAGCCGCGAGTTCGTCATCTCTCTCGCGTCCACCCATACCCCATGTACCGCGTTGGTGTCCAGTCCGAGCCTGACTCGGTTCTTCAGGACTTCACCTTCCTTCCTACACACATAAGACATATATGCGGTCGTTTTTGAGAGCGCGTTCGTTTTTTGTCCGGTACCGGTTGTCGCAGTCGCAACACACACACACCACCGCACCTACTTGTTCTCTTGAATATTCTCTATGAACAATTCGAGCAGTCTCCAACGTGCAACGAAATAGCTGGCGCGACCGACTCTCTCCCGTGGCCGCGCGAGGCGAGTGTGAGATCAACACCCGGCAGAATAGGCGGTCGCGCGCGGGCCGCAGCGTGGCGACGTGGCGCGTTGCACAGGCGCATGCACGGCGCACCATCCGGGTGGAGGTCTGTGGTGAGGTCCGTGTGGCCTCCCTCCCTCTCTCCCTCTCTCCCTCTCCCTCTCCCCCCTCCCCTCTCCCTCTCTCTCTCTCTCTCTCTCTCTCTCTCTCTCTCTCTGTGTGTGTGTGTGTGTGTGTGTGTGTGTGTGTGTGTGTGTGCAGCGGCGCTCGGCGGCGGCGCGTCACTTCTCTGGCTCGGCAGCCTCGATGAGCTCGACGGCCTCCGTCGTGGGGAAGTCCTGCCGTCATGGGTGTGGCTGGGGTTAGGGTTAGGGTCCGTCGTGGGGAAGTCCTAGGGTTAGGGTAAGGGGTTAGGGTCAGGGTTAGGGTAAGGGGTCAGGGTCAGGGTCAGGGTCAGGGTCAGGGTCAGGGGTCAGGGTCAGGGTCAGGGTCAGGGTCAGGGGTCAGGGTCAGGGGTCAGGGTCAGGGTCAGGGTCAGGGTCAGGGTCAGGGTCAGGGGTCAGGGTCAGGGGTCAGGGTCAGGGTCAGGGTCAGGGTCAGGGTCAGGGTCAGGGTGAGGGTCAGGGTCAGGGTCAGGGTCAGGGTCAGGGTGAGGGTCAGGGGTCAGGGTCAGGGTCAGGGGTCAGGGTCAGGGTCAGGGGTCAGGGTCAGGGTCAGGAGTTAGGGTCAGGGGTCAGGGTCAGGGTCAG